GCCCGCCCCAGGGAAACAAAGCTTTCCGGAAGAACGGGGCTGCACACCTCGCAGCGAGCATCCCCAGCCCCTGCGCGCCTGTGCCCTGAGCCTGGCGTCCGCTTTTCCCTTGTTCCCACTTCTTCATCTCACAGATGAGGAAACCTAAAGCTCAGAGAAGTTAGGTGACTTCTGTGGCCAGGCGTGATGGCCCAAGCCTGTAATCCCAGTACTCGGAGGCTGAGGCAGGAGAATCAAAGCAAGTTGGAAGCTGGCCTGGGATAAGTGGTGAGAGGCCAGCCTGGGGTGGCGGGGTGGCGGGGGAGTGGACAGAGAGAGACAGAGAGAGACAGAGAGACGGAGAGAGAGAATGAGAGAGAGAATTCTTTCATAGCAGAGCCACGCTTGACCTAGGCAGATAGTGCTGCTCACAAATCAGTATTTTGGGAACTTCACGGAGAGGCCTTCAAACGCGACCTCAAGAAACTAGGTTCTCTGACAGAGCCTAGTCCATCCCCATCTGCAGGATGTTGGTTTAATGTCATCCAAGTGAGGAGGAGCCAGGAGTGGTGCCGCACACCTACAATCCCAGTATTCTGGAAGGCTGAGGCAGGAGGATCCCAAGTTCAAACCCAATTTAGGGAAACTTTGTTTTAAAATAAATAAATAAATAAATGATGGGGATATAACTCAGCACATAGACCCTAGGTTTAACTCCTGGTACCACAAAAAGAAGAAGGAGGACGAGGAGAAGGAGAAGGAGGAGGAGGAGGTGCAGGAGGTGGAGGAGGAAAAGGAGCAGGAGAAGGAGGTGGAGGAGGAAGAGGAGCAGGAGAAGGAGAAGGAGGAGCTAGGGGGTGGAGGAGGAGGAGAAAGAGAAGGGTGAGGAGGAGGAGGAAGAGGTGGATGAGGAGGAGGAGGTGGAGGAGGAGGAGCAGGAGAAGGAGAAGGAGGAGGAGGAGAAAGAGAAGGATGAGGTGGAGGAGGAAAAGGAGCAGGAGAAGGAGGTGGAGGAGGAGGAGGAGAAGAAGAGGCACCAGGGTTTGTTCTCTCCCCACCACATAAGGACAGAGTAAGATGGTGCCCACCTGCAAGCCAGGAAGAGAGCCCTCGCCAGAAAACAACCCCACTGGCACCTTAACCTTGGACTATGCCCTTCAGAATAATGAGACAATAAGTTCCTGTTCCTAAAGCCTCCCAGTCTGTGACTTTGTTACAACAGCAGGCAAGCAGGTGAACACACAACATGGTCTTGGCTGTGATTCAGACCAGACTCTCTCTCCCTACATCTGTGGCACACTCATACCCTGTGGAGACACGGGAACAAAACTCACGCACAATGAGGGTGCTCCCTGGCCAGACTCACCAGCCGGGTCCTTATCCCACGGCCAGCGGGATTTGGGTGGGCACCTTGGGACTCAGCATTGGCCTGATCTCTTGGAAGGGGTCAGGCCCGGGAAGCAGCTCTGGTAGGCAGGTGTCAGGGCCCAGGGAGACTCACAAACCTGACTGTGCTAGGGCAGGCCTGGAGGTCTGGTACCAGGCTGGGGACTCTTACCCTGAGTCGGGAAATGGGGGCATCAGCAGGACGTTTCCTTGGCCTTCCTGTCTTTCACAATAGCTTATTGAGCGTCAGCCATCTGTGGAGGGGACGTGGGAGCTAGAACAGAAAGGACGAGAAGCAGCTGCCTGTGAACAGGTAAGTTTTCCAGGTAGAGGGAGATGCAAGTGCCAGGCCTTGGGGAAAAGATGGGGAAGTACAGAGAGGAAAGGGAAGTTGGTGACGTGGACCAGACTGCAGGCCTTGTGGGCCACGGCAAGCAAGAGTTTGATTTTACCAAATGGAAGGCAGACTTTTTGTCATCATGGTGAAACACAAGAGGAATAAAAGACACAGGGGTTCCAGGAAGGCAATGAACTTTGGGGGAGCTGAGAAGACACCATAGCTGATAAAAGCACGCCCATCACCCCTGCGAGGGTCCAGAGGAGGAGAGGAGGACTGCTCTTGGTCTTTGTGCACCCGCTCATCTGCTCAGCTGAAGCCCTGTCTCCCACTGCTGGAGACACAGGAAAGAACTGACCACTCACTGTCTTCTAAAATTGATGTCCGGGGCACAGGGGAATCAGAGCTGGGAGTAGGGTATGATGCCCCATTGTGTAACCTAGAGGAGAGAAAAGGAGATCGCAGTGCTAGTATTAGTTTCCTATTGCTGGGTCTGGTAGCACATGCCGGTAATCTTAGCACTTGGGAGGCTGAGGCAGGATTACTATAAACTGGAGTCCAGTTTGGGCTACATAGTGAGTTCAAGGCCAGCCTGAACTACATAGTAAGATTCTGTCTCAAAAAAAAAAAAAAAAAAATACCCAACCATTTACTAGAATTTCTCATTTATTGAGAAAAAAGAATTACTCAGAGCTTGCAGGGATTAATATACACAGCCTCTGAATTGATGCCACCCTGCTGCCAGGGAACGAAGACCTAATGGTAGGCAGGTGGCATATGGAGTCTGAAGCCCATTTCAAATCACAGATACCCCAGCATGTCTGTGGACCAATTGTGTAGTTTCTCCTTAATGTAAATAGGGTAGACATACTTGGTAATTGGAAGAATAGCAAGATTTAAGGATACAAGAGTGGTAAAATCCCATTTAACTTTCCCATTTGCCCATGAAGAAGGCATAAAGATATCAGAAATAACTGCAAATTTCCATACATTTTATCAAGCAGTGGCTCCAGTTGGATTTGTGGTTCTAAATATGGTAAATTTACCTGAAAAAAATCAACATATTTGATCTATAATCTCAGATTTAGCGTCCATGGATTCAGCTCACCACAGATCAAAAATGCATTGCCTTCTCTCCAGCAATGATCCGGTGATCTCATGGGTGGCTCCTTAGGACCAGTGACTTCAGAGAAAAAGCTGTGGGCTCTTTTACACATTTTAATACATAATGTACCAACTGGAAATGGACAGCTACAGCAATAGGGCTCCTTCCAGGGTGACCCTAAAGGACATCACTGATATCTTCATGATAGATAGAATTTCAGGTGGGTCATTTAAATGTTCACTTTATCTTGGTTTAGAGATCATCAGAAACACGTATTTGCACTGATGCATAGAACTTATTGGTTTTGCAAAGGGGCCATGGCACTGAAAAAGACAAGGATTAAAATATTAAGTGGATCCAAGCCAGGTGTAGAAGTGCATGCCTGTAATTCCAGCACTCAGGAGGCTGAGGCAGGAGGATTGCTGGGAGTTAGAGGTCAGCCTGGACTGCATACTGACTTCAAGGCCAACCTGAACTACACAGTGAGACCCTGTCTCAAAAAAAAAAAAAAAAAGATTAAGTGAATCCAGATGTGGTTGCACATGCCTATAATCCCAGTACTCTGGAAGGCTGAAGCAGGAGGATCACAAGTTTGAGCCCAGCCTGCACAGTTTAGGAAATTAGTGAGACCTTCTCTCAAAATAAGTAACAAAACAAAGGCTGAGGATGTAGCTCAGTGCAAAGGCCCTGAATTCAATTTCTAATACTACAGAAACAAACAAATAACCAGTAAGGAGTTCTGGGTAAGAGGTACATGGATAACTTCTTAGGATGGGTATACTACATGCCATCTGTGTCCTCTACGAACTCACATCGCAGGGTGCCTATAAAAGGAAGCATTCAGTATTGAATTGTAAAATAACAGGGTTTGTGACACCAGCCAACCTCTTCCCCCAGCTACTCCAGTGCTTATACAATAGTCCATAAACAGAAGTCCATGGTGGCGGGGATGGAGGCTGGGCGTAGGCTCCACACGGCTTGATCTCACTGAACTTACCTGGCTATCACTGCTACTAAATACCTAACTTGCATAGCAGAGACCTACAATGAACCCTAACATCCCCGAGGAGTTCAGCCAGTCACTGGTGGAAAGTTGCTTATACTGGGCCCTTTCCTATGTCATATACGTTATAGATAGGTAATAATTTGCCTCCTTGTGTTACACAAAGGTGATGGAGGCCACTGTTTTGAACTGGCCACCTGTACCAGGCCCCAGCACACTAGAGTCTAGAATGGACTTGCTCATGCTAAGTGCCAGGCAAATAAATTGAATTTTTGAAGGGAGCTGGTATTCTAGGATTATTTTTGTCTGGTGTTGGTTTCCATATATAGATTTCTCCACATCATTTTTTTTTTTTGGTACTGGAATTTGAACTCAGGACCTTGTGCTTGCCAGGCAGGCACTTGTGCCACTGAGCTACATCCCCAGCCCATGAGCTGTTTTTCTAAAACAACAGGAGATCCCAGTCAACCTGAGTCTGCCTAATAAAGATGTCTCTTCCTTTTGGCCTGATAAGGGAAGGAACTTTGAAACAGTCTTTTGGTTTTGTATGACTGTGTTTTCACTTTCTTCAGGCCTCCTTTGCCTCCCACATCTGCTCAGAAGGAGATGTTGCCTCACTGGAGAACCGCAAAGGAAAAAGCCAATTAAGATCTTTAAACTCAATTTGTTGCAATTTTGTCATCTGAAGCTTGCCAGCATCATAACCCAGAGAAGTAAGAAAGGCCTTATTTACCATCATGCTCTCCTGCCCACATTCGAACCGGGCGGCTTCTGCCAGTAAAATGAATTAGCTGGTTTTGCCATACACCGCATCATCCGAAGCGGCTAACGGAATAACCCGCTAACGCTTCACTGCCAGTGCCTGCTGGGAGACAATACTCACAGCAGATAGGATGATACGTTATAGCATCAAAGATGATGGGCTTTGAATCGAGATCAGTTCATGGTGCTGCCTCTCTGGCCATCGTGTGTAGGTCTGTAAATCAAGAGGTACAAAGGGGGGTGGATTTTATCAAGATTATACCTAACGACCCCTAGGGGCTGGGGATTTAGCTCAGCGGCACAGCGCCTGCCTGGCAAGCGTGAGGTCGTGAGTTCAATTCCCGGTACCGGAAAACAAACAAACAAAAAAAATTTCACCTAACAACCCACTTGGAGCATTTTGATTTCCCATCCCTAACATTTTAGAGCTCTGCTGATTTTGAAGCCTCATTCCCAAGAAGGTGAAGTCTGCCACTCGGGGAAAATGGTACCAGCACTGCTAGATTGGTAAGTGAAACTGCCACCTGGCCATTTTGGGGTTCCTCTCCCCAAAACCCAAGAGACAAGTAAGAATGTTACTCTTTGTGGGCGTGTGCACGTGTGTGTGTGTGTGTGTGTGTGTGTGTGTGGGTGGTGCAGGGGGCTGAACCCAGGGCCTTGCACCAGTGAGGCAAACACTCTACCTCTGAGCTTCTTCTCCAGGCTGAGATGCGACTCATCTTTGTGGACACAGTGTGACTGCTCTCAAGTACCAGGGAGGAACTCAATTGCTAGTACACAACAGGAACGTGAAGGATTATGCTGGGAAGAGAAAAGATTCCTGCGGCATCTCTAAGTACTTCTATGTGTAACAGTAAAGGTTAATGAAAAACTTCGGCAACTGAAAAAACAAGAACTTGGAAGATTCGAATTTTTTGAAAAGGTCCTGATCACTTATGATCCTAGCTGAAGGCAAACAAAACACAGAATGAGTAGAGGAAGAAGGAAATTTGTAAATATCAACCTGGGCTCCATGACCATTTGCAGAAATGAGACTATAACAGCTAGGTGTATTTCTTTCCTCACCTTTGTGTGTGTATGTGCATGTTATCTATTCTCTTCTCTAGCATACTTTCCTTTATTATTTTTTTATTTTTACTTTTATTAATTAATTATTTATTTATTTATTTATTTATTTATTTTTTGTGACAGGGTCTCGCTATGCAGTTCAGGCTGGCCTTGAGCTCACTTTGTAGCCCAGGCTGGCCTCAAACTCACAACAATCCTCCTGCCTCAGCCTCCCAAATACTGGGATTATAGGCATGCGCCATCACACCTGGCTCCCTTTCCTTTATTATTGTGTATAAGTTTTATTACAGATTAACTTCACATTTTAGGGTTCATGTAACAGAATCAGTGGTATCTTGGTACATAAACTTAATTTCTTCTATGATTTTGGAAAAGATGGCCACATTTGTGTGGCCATCCAACTTGTGGCAATCCTCCTGCCTCAGCCTCCCGAGTGCTGGGATTACAGATGTGTGCCACCATGCCTGGCCCTTTTTTATTTTTTTATTTTAAAACAGTTTCTTGCTAAGTTTCCCAGGCTGGGTTCAAACGTGATTTTTCTGCCTCTGCCTCTGCCTCTCAGAGTGCTGGGATTGTAGATCTACACCACCATCCCTGACTGTCTGATATTTTAGAGTAGTATGTGTTTGTGCCCTTTGCATAACCTAGTGAACAACACTGTGTAATTAGCAGTTTTTACAGCCCCTTTGGTCTATTTGAAAATTTGGAGTGCACCAGAGCTGCATCTCAGTGTGAACCTCTTCTCTATACTTTCATTGTAGACAAACAAACTTACTTATATGCAATGAATCCCAAATTCATTACAAACCTCTTGCCCAGCTTTTATCATGAAGACTCTGGACATATATTTTACTGCCTTCTTAATATCTCCATGTGGTAGTTTAAGTACCTCAATCTCGATACGGCCAAAACAGAACTCATGATTCCCTACACCTTCAGCCCACTCATCCAAGCCTACTCTTCCCTAAGATTTCCCCATTACGGTAAATTATACAACCATCAAAACAGCTCCTCACATACAAATACATGAAATCAACCCTAATTTCTTTCTTCTTCCTACTGTCCATTTAGAATTCATCAGCACGTCCTAAGAAAAATATCTGCATAATATACTTTGATCGCTCGAATATTTCCTCATCTCATCATGCCCGCTGGTACTGCTCTAATCCGAGCCACCAGACTCCCTAGCCTGGACATCTGCAGGTAACAGGTGTGCCTTCTCTCACTCTTGCAGTGTCCTATACTCCTGCTTTATGCAGCAGTCAGGATAAACTTTTAGAAACATAAAGGAAGAGAAAAAACCCTAAAGCACAGCCTTAGGTCCCTCTCAAGTTTTCCCGACATATATTACAAGGTGAACATGCCTGCCCCTAATCCACAAGGCTTAACAAATGAGGTCCTTGTCCACTTCATTCCTCTGGGCTATCTCACGTGCCACCCTCCCCCGCCCCACCTTCACCCTGGCGAGCTATTGTTTGAGACAGTCTCACTATGTGGTTCAGGCTGACCTTGAATTCAAGGTGATCCTCCTGCCTCAGCCTACTGAGTCCTGGGATTACAAGTCTGAGCCACCACATCTGGCTCTCTTTGGCTTTCTTTTTCTTTTTTTAAGAATACTGTTATTTACCTTTATTTCAATATATTTCATTTTTTAAAAAAAATTTTATTGGTACATTTTAGATATACATAGTGATAACATTCAAAGTAGTCTGGCTTTCTTCTTGAGGCTGGTGCATTTATGGAAGTCCTAGAGCTCCATAAAAGGGTGCATGAACCTAAATGGAGGGAAGTGCATAGACACATCCTGAGGCTCAGCATCTCCTGGGCTGGTACCTGAGTGTCAGCACGATGAACAGAGTACGTGCTATTCATTCCCACTGTGACCTGCAGCCTACTCTGTAAGATGCCTAGAGATCTACCCTCCTCTAACCTAGCTCCACCCATCTCATTACAGACTCTTACTCCTGCACCAGCCTCCTTCTATCAATGCCTGGGTATCACCACACAAAGGAACCGGGGAAGCTGCCTGCCTAAGCCCTATGTCATGAATCTGGCTGCTCCTCTTCCCTGCTTGTGCTGTTGAAGCAGTTGTCAGAGCAGATAAACTGAACTCCCTGGGTTTGTCTTTCACTCTGGTTGCTGCAATTTGAAACCATACCCAAAGCTTGTGAGGTTCTTTTTCTGTCAAGATTTATCCTATTTGGGAATGGTGGCTGTTCAGGTGAGCTTAATAACTAGGTAATAGCTAGATACATCCGTTTCCCTTTGTCTTGGAGATACAAGCAAGGAGATCTGTGTTAGGGGTCTGTCAATCAATCAGGAGTCATTAGGGAAGTTTGAAAAAAGAAAAGGAAAGGAAAAAGAAAAATCTCCTAGCTCTGTCTCAAAAATCACGGCAGCAGAATTTTCTGGGCTTCAGGAATTTTTGTATGTGAAATTATGTTTTAAAAATTCATGAGCGATTCTGATGCAAATCCTGGATAAGAATCAATGCTTAGGGAAGCTACCTAGGTGACCTAATTTTTTTTTTTAAGAGCAGAATATATTTATTGAGGGAAAGAAAAGAAAGCTTCTGTCCAAGAGAGGGGACAGAAGAGGGGCCTGAATGGGTTACCCCAGGTGATCTAATTCTTAAAGTTAATTTTTAAAAAATTTTAATTTTTATTAGTACCAGCTTGCCGTATGTAATAATTACATTCTTCATGGGGTGTTAAACCTTTGTACATGACCCTTCCTGTTCTTTCCGTCCCATCTCTTGGCCCCTTCCAATTTGCAAAAGATCCAGCTTCCTGTTTCCTGTTATTTGCAGATGATTTAAATGTCCCTGTCCTCAAAGGAGTCAGAATAGACTTACGAACTCCTCGCATAGCTTTGCATTTGAAAGTTGATGAAAGAAGCTGAGAAATATAAGCCAAGGTCTCCTGCAGCGTCCTAGAGGCAGGACCTAGGCCATCAGGCAAGTTCTGCCTAGGTGTTGAAGAAGGGCAGGAAGGGAGACAGTGGGAAGCGACAGGTAGGTCAGTGTGGAGAGAAGGAAGAAGGGCTTCCCGACACCGCTTTGGCTGTGATGGGTTTTCCCCACGAGGGGAAACTCTGCCTGACAGGCTTGCTGGAAGAATGGGAGGATAACATCTGGAGAGGGCTAAAAATAGAAAGTATTATTGAACATTTTGTGGCTGCTTACTTGAAAGAGCAGCATAAATCATTCCTTTGCCCAGAGCCCTTATCTGTTCTTTATACCTTTGACTGTGGGTATATAGCAGGTGGGGATCAAGAAGAGGGTGGTAAAGGCATTTCTCACCAGTGGAAATCCCCTTTGGGTCCTGCATCCATTGGTGGGAGGTGGGATCGTATCCATGGAGTTTGCATGAGAGGAACAGGCACAAATAAGACAGACGGAGGGAGACAGCAAGGTGAGGTGGTGCACACTCCTGGTCCCAGCTCCTCGGGAAGCGGATGCAGGAGAACTGTGAGCTTGAGGCCAGGCTTGGCAACACAGCGAGATCCCCATCTTTAGGGGAAAAAAGAAGATATAGTAGGAAGATCAAGACAGCGGGACACAGGCTGGTGCAGTGGTAGAAATAGAAAGTCCTGCAAGGAAAGAAGAAACGCAAAGAGAGAAGAGAGGGACGGACGGGATGGAACCCTTCGTGCATCCTCTATGCCTGCTGTGTCCAGTGAAGGTGTTCTGACCCTTAGATTCTCTGAATTCGCTGGTGCCTTGCTCCCACGCCTCCTGGGGCTTAGCGCCTCTTGCTGACCAGAGCTTACAGTGAGATTTCTCCCAGGGTTTCAGTCAAGAGTTTGCGAGGGCTGCCTGCACCTAACCGGTGGGAACCCCAAAGGTCTCCTTGAGCCCTGGCTTCTGCCCATCGGGAAACCTGGCATTCCCACCCACCTTTAACTTCTATCCCCCCACCCTCACCCTGCCCCCACGGCAGCAAACTGCTGAGATTTCCCTTTAATGTGCTTCTGCTCTTAGTCAGCACAATGGCCTCTATTCTGTTCAACTGATACCCTGCTCCTCTCCCTACAGTCAACCTTTCTTTAGCCTTAATCCCTTAAAACCCCTTAAACAACTCAAAAGCAATAAAGAGATAGTTCTTGGTTACATTTCTCCCCCTTGCTTTGTTCTTCCTAAACCTGTTCTCAGATTGCAGGCCAGAAGGTCTTTGTGTGACTGTTGACTCATCCCATTCACTCTAATGAGATCACCGGCAGTGGCAGCGTAGACCGGGCGGCTGGCTGCTCGCGCTGGGTGTTGGGTAACAGAGCTGTCTAGTGAAGGGACGGGGTTTCCTGCAGGAAAGGAGAGGGACGGGGCCTGCCGGGCCTGGGACTTTGCAACATCAGTGACTCCCAGGAGCCCAAAGGCATGATCCTTGGACGCTGTAGGGTGGCTTATCCCCCAGTGACCTGATCCCTTCTGTCCCACACTCCCCCCAGAGTCCCCAAACACCTACCTCTGTAATGGCATCAGCCGTTCCATCTCCCATCCCACTCCCGGAGGGTTTGGGTTACATCCGCACCAGAAAATACACATGCTACTCATTACGCCGTCACCTTGAATTCTGCTTCTTAGCACAAAAACGTTTGATGGAAATTAGCTAGGACAGGTAAATTTTGATGGGGAAATAAGGCTTTAGATTCTTGCTGAGGAGGACAAGACTTGGTCGTGTGAAGGAATAGAAAAGACAGTGTGCAGCTCTTGGGAGCGTGGGGCGGGGGACCCGGATGTGAACAAGGATTTGGACAAAGCTCGCTGCCTCTCGGAACCTAGGATCCTCCTCTGTAAAAGGAGGACAGTACAAAGTTGTTAGGCCAGGTGACAGCCGCAGGACGAGCAAGCAACACGTAAACGGAATGGATCAATATACCGACTATAAGACAACAATTGGTGCAAACCACAAAGGGAGTGTCACCACACAGATGCTGCGTGTGCGTGCGTGCGCGTGCGTGTGCATGTGTGTGTGAACAATTCAAGTAACTCTAGTCATGCAGTATTGTGATCAGCAGCCGTGGGAAGGAAGCACGGGTGCTAGTGTTAGAGAAAGCTGGCAAAATTCTACCCAAACCAAGCAATTTAGGTTTATACAGAGGTTCATTAAAAAATTGCATGTACATCTCCACACACAAACACATATATGTACATGTACTGCTGTTGGTGTGTATGCAGTATATATTGTTGTACAGTATATATTACTACACAGTATATCTTTATACAGTATGTACATTTATGTTCACATAGGGGAAGGGACACATGGATAAAAGGATTGTGTGGCCATGAAAAATGTGGGGCCGAAAAAAATCTTTACAGTAAGAGCGGCTCTGTGTGAGAGAGAAAGGAAAGAAGAGGCTGTGTGTCTTGACGTGTGTCTCTGGTAGCATCGTCCTGGGTCTGGTGCCTCTCTCTGGACTGTGTCCTGTGCCTTTAACCAACGACCAAGGCTAGGCTTGACCATGTCATGGGTCTGAACCCTCACCCCAAGAATCTCTGCCTCTTTCGATGTTAAATGTATTCTCTATTATTAGTAAGGAATTTTGCAAACCTGGAGAGGTAACAAAATATGCTGTGTGTGTGTGTGTGTGTGTGCGCGCGCGCGTGTGTGTGCTGGGTATCAAACCCAGGCCTCAGGCACAAGTTGGCCTAGCACTCTGCTGCTGAACTGCACTCCAAGCCCACACAAGAAGAACTTAGATGAGTAAATCAAACTCACAACATTAATAGCTTTGTGTGAAGTTTATGAATATGTTTACAAGAACCTAGCTTTATGCTTTGGTTTGCAATTCAATTTTTTTTTTTCTTTTTGAGACAGGGTCTTGCTATGCAGTGCAGGCTGACTTTGAGCTCACTTTGTAGCCCAGGCTGGTCTCAAACTTGGAATGATCCTCCTGCCTCAGCTTCCCAAGTGCTGGGATTACAGGCGTGTGCCGCCGCATGTAATTCAAATTTGATTTTAAATATAAAATGTTAGAATTTAATTCATGTTTTAAACATCTTTGAAGTAAGTTGAGTGGAGCAACTGCTTACAAAATTTAATAGATTTTGTTTATTAGATTTATAACAGTTATTTAAAACCTTGGAGGTAACTCAGAATCAACTTGTCAGATTTTTTAAAACACATTTTTAGGATCTTTCTTGGTATTGCCTTGATGTACAGATCAACTTGAGGATCAGGCTCATCTTAACAACACAGATTTTCTAGTCCATGAACATAGTATATCTCTCCCATACTAAGGACTTCTTTCATTTTCTTTTGCAGTGTTTTATAGTTTTCAGTGTATAGAGCTTGCAGTTTTCCTTACACTTATTCCTAATTATTTTGTTTTTATTATACTTTAAAGAATGTCATTTATTAATTTCATTTTCTAAGTGTTCATTGCTATAATACATACATGCAGGTGATTTTTAAGGTGTTTATATTATATTGTATGTTCTTGCTGAATTCAGTTATTAATTTTCCTAGCCTATTTTTAGATCCATTAGGATTTTATGTATGTGTAAACATTTCTTCCAAAACAAAAGAAAACTTTATTTCTTCTTTTCTAGTCTTTATAACTTTATTATTATTATTTTTTTTTTGTAGTAGCTATGACCTTCAATACAATGGTAAATAGAGGCAGTTAGAATGAATTATCAGCTGGGCCTAGTGGCTCCTGCCTGTAATCCAAGCACTAGGGAGGCTGAGGCAGGAGGATCATTGCAAGTTCGAGGCCAGCCTGCACTACAAAGCTCAAGACCAACCTGAAATGCATAGCAAGACCCTGTCTCAAAAATAAATAAATAAATAAAATAGAGTGAATTCTCTTTCCCTTGTTCTTAATGCTAGGTAAGAAGTGTTGAGATTTCACCACTAAGTGTGATGTTAAATGTAGGTTGCCACAAAAAGTTCTTAATCTGGTTGGGGAAATTTCAAGTTTTAGTGTGGTGAGAGTTTTTATCATGAATGTACGTTGAATTTTTTTCAAACACATTTCCTGAACCTATTGAAAAAATTAAATGATTTTTCTCTTTTATTTTACTAATAC